TATTTTAGATTTATGATAAATAATTTGTATTGTAATAAAAAATATATATTTTTATTTATTGATAATTTATTTAAATATTAATATTTAATTTATAATTATTTTTGATAAATAAAAATCAATTTAGAAAAAAAAATCAAAAAAAATCTTGCAAATCATCGTGTTGAAAAAAAGTCTGAAATATTTTTGTATAAAATAAAAATTCATATTTAATATATAAAAACTAATTATCTTAAAAATCATCAAAATATAAATTTTAATTGATTAATAGTATAAAAAAATTTATATCAATAATATATCATCATTAAATCCATATTATAAACTAACAGCAATTAGTTCACAACCTTTATCAAGAAAATATTTTTCAATTAGTTGAATAGAGTAGAATGATTTGTTATAAACTCTCTTGAATTTGATTTCTACATATTAAAAAAGAAAAAGGTTCAAAAAATTTACATGATATTTTTTTGAATATTTTTATATTTAATATATAAGCTAAATTTTGGATTTAGTTTTATATATTAAATATCAAAATATTTTATTTATTATATTTTTTTAATTATGTGATGTAATTTTAGTCTTTAAATTTTATAAAATATAATGATTTGTTAATCATAAAAAAAATATAACACTAATTATGACTTGACAATATGTAAAAAAATATAATAATTAATATTTAATAATATTTGAATTGAATTATATGTTTATGAATCTACATAATCTCATACACGTTAGTATTATATCCATTAATTTATCATTAATATTTAATTAAAAATAATTTGAAATTAAACTATAAATAAACAATTAAAATTGTATATCTTATATATATATACCTACACACATTTTTTATACAAATTATGCTATGTAATTTATATTATTATGAGTATACATATATATATATATATATATATATATTAATTTGAAATTATACCATATTTTATTATATAAATTTAAATTAATATATAATATAATATTTATATACATCAATATAAATTTATATAATGAAGTATTAAATAATTTTTAAATTTTATAAAAATTTGTAAATTTTATCTATTTATTAAGAATTTTTAATTTAATAATTGAATCATTAAAATTTAATGTACACCATGAGTTATTAAGTTGATTAACACTATCAAGATTCAAGATAGAGTAAATGAATTATTTCTTATATGTATGTGTAACACAGCTAATAGACTGGAACGGGGCGTTCCAAGCTACTAAAACAAGGGTGATTTAGTAGCCTAGAACGGACCGTTCCCAAACTAGAACGGTCATTTCAGACTACTAAATAGACCTATAAATCCTATACTAGAACGGGTCATTCCAAACGTTGTTGTTGTGAGTTAAATCTAACTCTAGAATGGGTCATTCTAGTTTGGGAACGGGTCGTTCTAGGCATGTCAGAATGGGTCATTCTAGTTTTAGAACAGGCCGTTTTGCATGTGAATTTTTCACATGATGAAGGAGACAAGAACGGGCCGTTCTGGATTCGAAACGGGCCGCTCTGGCCACTCCTGACCTCTATAAAAAGGCATTAAGGAGGAAGAGAAAGGGAAAGAAAGAGAGAGAGGAAGGGAGAGAAGTTTAGAGAGAGGGGTTATGGTCCGCTAGGAAGCTTGATTTTGAAGGATTGAAGTTCGGGAGTCGAGCTCGGAGGAAAGTTTTCTTATTCCAAATTCTTGGTTGTTTGGAGCCAATCTTCAGGTAAGGGGAGCTAGATTGTAGATTTGTTGGTTGTATGTGAGTTGAGAACTCATTTGGGTTCTTAGGTTGATTGGTATTGTTTGGGTGTGTAAGTTGGCATGATAGATGGGTTATAAACATGTAGTATGAGTTGTGTTATGTGGTGAAAATGTTGTGCGTTGCTAATATATGGTTAAGTATTTATTTATGATGTTGTTGGTGATGCTTTTGTGATGAAGATGAGATGCATGTTGTAATTAAGTTGTGAAGTTGTTTACAAGTTGTGTGTTGATCTTTGATATTGTTGAAGCATGTTGAAATTAAGTTGATAGTTGAGCTAATGAGATGATAATTGTGTTGTTTAAAGTTGAAATGAGATGTTATGTTGTTAAAATGTGTTGTTAAATAGTGTTGATGAGTTGTTTTGCTGATAAACTATGTTGTTCAAGTTGAAAGTTGATTTAGATGATGAGTTGAAAAGTTGTATGTTGTTTAAGTTGTTGAGTTGAGTTGTGTTGTTGAGTTGTAAGCTGATTAAGCTGTGATAACGAGTTGTTGATCACTAAGAGGAAAATATTTTCAAAGTTGTTCATCCCATTGTGTGTATTGTGATAGTTGTGGTGCTTTGAGAGCCCAATTTGTTGAAAACCCCTCTATTTGCACCTGGAACGGCTCGTTCCAGGTACAAAATTTACACACCAACAATGTAACCAGAACGGGCAGAACGGGCCGTTCTGGCTCCAGGTGTCTTCAACTATTTTGGGATCCACCTACGTGGCATCCACGTGGTCACCAGTTAACTCCGTTTAAATCATTTAAACAGAAGTCCCAAATTACAATGATTTAAATTATTGAGGACCAAATTGAGACCTAAAATTAAAGTGAGACTAAATTGAAACAAAAAATTCAGATCTTGATGATTCTTTTTCATCCATCGGACAAAGTAGATTCACTTTTCCTCGTTTAGCCCCAGTTCATGAAGAAGTTAGTTCCAAAATCCTTGTAGTCTATTTCATTTTATAATGCATGTTCTTGTTATTCCATACTGCTTTCATGTTATGTGTGTGTTTTGAGCCTTTAATCATTCAAAAGTCCAACTCTTCTGCAGGTCAGAGTATCAAATAACTACTATAGTTGTGATGATAGTGCTTCTACAGCCGAGAAAATGCTTGAAAGTGATGAATTTCACATTACTCAGGAACAATCATTGCAAAATGATGATATAGGGGATATTTCTTGCGTCGAAAATTCCAAAGGTACTGCTAGTGTGAAGTTATTGAAGCATTTGTGTGTCCCTTTATATATTCTATGTGGAACCGAAGTTGTACATATGCCTTATTATGTAACATTTGAGCCTGAAAGTTGGAAACTAACCTTAGCTATTCTTCACGTATGGTCTAACAGCTTGATTAATTTTAATGTTTAATAATTTTCATATATAAAAGATAAAAAAATGAATGAGTGATTAGATGTAAAAACTGAACACTCTCCAGTTTTTTTTCAACTCGAGAGGATCCATGCTCAGGGTTTAACTGGTATCACTAGTAAGAATATCAGTATTTTCCTTAACTTGCTGGTTTACATAAATTCTCATTTTTTGCAGGCATTTTAGTCAGCAGTTGGTTTAGCTTTCTTAAGGAAAAAGTGGAGCAAACAAAGTTCTTATATGTGTCGAGAGTGCTGATATTTTTTTTTGAAATATTAGTAATGTTCTTCCGTGGTTTAAGATTAGAATTTTGGAGAACAAGGAACAATATCTACCCATCTGTGGCTGCCATGGAACATAACAACGATAACCTTACAACAGCTGGTGAAACACCCTCTGAAAGAAGTCATATTTGTCAATGCATACAACGTCTTGAGAGACTAGAGGAAACATTCGGTGAACTTAGCCACAAACCTGTTGGCATACCTTTGGATAAGGAGCAAATGCTTATGAATTCCTTGGATAGGATTAAAAGTGTTGAGTTTGACCTTGAAAATACTAAGAGGGTATTTCTTTATGCTTTCATCAGTCACCGATAAACTATTGATTATTCTAAGGATATGATGTTTATAATATGTGCCTTTAATGCAGGTGCTACATGCTACAGTGATGAAGCAGCTTGAGATTGCTGAGCTGCTCGAGAATTTGCGGGCATCAAAGAATCAAGTAAATTGCTTCTTGGTAATATTTTAAATATTCCAATGTTTTATATGTTGTGCTTTGTATTGCCAATCTTTTACATAGCCAATCCCAACCCTAAATTAGGCAGTTACTTCTACATGTTGTCATGTTTTTGCAATACACGACTTTAATGAGATTTTGAACTTTAGACCTCTCCCAAACTTCTAGGCTATAACCACTAGCTCATGCTTAGTTGCTAGTGTCATGGATTTTGAGCTTGTACGCGCTTTAATTCCTCTGCAATTAAGTGAGGCTGTTTCTAGCATTTTAACCAGCAATTTCTAAGTCACATGACAGCAACCTTGTGTCCTTGTATTTGTGCCAAGACTCGCCTTCAACAAATTGCGTCTTGGTTCACCAATTAAGAATGTCTAAATTGAACTTATACATTACGTACTTCAATTATACAGCAAATGTTTAGAATTCAAATGGAATAACCACCTCTAACGTACTCTGATAAAACTTCTCCCTTATTGATGTTACTGAATAGTGATTATTCTTGCAGCAGAGAAGGCTGTTCCGCCGAAAGATTCAAGTTTTGGCAAAGAGCTAGAGCTGTTAACACCTCAGAAGATTAATTCAACAGTCAGAAGATTGACCCTTTGTTTGAATGGAGAGAAAATGCAAAGAATAGGGAAAAAAATTAAAATTGAATTGAAAAAAGAAGAGAGAAATTTTTAAAATCATTTTGAAGTCAAACTTTTCTCCCTTTTTTTTCTTCAATAATAATAAAAAAGAAGTACTGTTATGTTAGCAGTATTTTTTTTTTTTTCCTTTTCTCTCTCTTTCTCCTTTGTCAAACACAGGACGAGCTCACTTATTGGACCCATAGAAAGTTGAGGTGAGGGATTACGCAATTAAGCATAGTGAGTTGCCGTAGCACATTCATAGAGACATGGGGATGAGATGATATAGTCCTCGCTGCTTTTGTGTATGTATATATACGGTGTAGTTTTTATGTTAAAATATTTTATCTTATTTGCATAGTATATAGCTTAGTTTGTTGAATAGAGTGCATAAGTTGATGTAAACACTTTAGCACCGAGTTTGAATTAAAACAAAAAGTATATAGCTGGCAAATTTTGTAGCAACGCATGGTTGAGATGCTCTTCTATTCAGTTTTAGAAAGAGTAAACTGTCAATTGAACCTACAAGAACTAAGTTGTCGCATTTAGGGAAGGGGTTCTTAAAGAGACCTATCAATCATAAATTCATGATGCGACAAAGATTAAATGTGAAAAATAAATAAAGGTGTGGTTTAGAAGATTTTTTTTATAGGTTTTAGAAAATATTAAATTATTTCTTTTTCTTTGCTCTGGTTAAAGATTGTGAGAAATGAATGATTTTTCTCACTTTTCTTATACCATTCTCTCTCATTTCTTAAACTCTCTTTAATTGACATTTATCATTTTTATTGGTATTGGTTCATAAGTTTTGATTTTGGATAATATGTTGACCTTATAAAAATTTAAAGATAAATAAGAAAGAAAAAATTGGTAAATTATGATTTTATTTTATAAATCTAATAAAATTAATTAATTAATTATTTATATAGATCATGTTATTCAGTTAAAAATATTTTATAATAAAAAATAGAGAAAATACTTATTAAAGACAAAATGTTGTATAATAAAGAATAGATAAAATACTTATTAAAAACATGTTATAGGAGTAATAAATCTTAGGTCATAAAATTTTCGGAGTGTGTTTCATATGTTTGCATTAGATATGTTAATTAGACTATCTATGCTATGCATATGTATATTAAAGTATTTATTGGTATGAATTTATTTTTAATTTAAATATATAAGTCAACCTTTGAAATTAACATGAAATTATCATGAATAAAGATAAATTAAAACTTGCTAGTTGATAATAAAGATTGAATGTTCATATGCAACACCGCCAAAATATATAAAATTAAGTGAACCTCATAACTGACCGATGCTACCTCGTGAAATGTGGTATATGGTATAATCACCTCCCACAAAGAAACACAAAACGAGGTTAATCGCCCCCACACCTGGCAAAAATATCGTCACTCATGTTTCTTCATCTTCAGAATTAAAGTCTTGTGTGTCTTACACATCAAATAAGACATAGTTACAAATGACAAATAAATAATTAATAAATTTGGATCCCACATCCAGTAATTATATAAAAGGGAAGGGGTTCACATTCATCTCTCTAAAACAAAGCATATATATCATAATAAACCTAATTGTGCACATTAATAGTTAAAAATTAAAAATTAGAACACATCAATTTGTCAGACGCATGGTGTTCACACAACCAACTTGTGTCCATCAATAATTGACATTTAAAATATTTAACATTAATTGGATGTGGTCAAAACTGCATGGTAATTTATCAAACACTTGAAGTTCACACTTGAAGTTCACATAAAAAAAATTATTCAACAACACCTAAATTATTTTTGGTAATTAACTTAAAGTATATCACACCAAGAAACATAATATTTATAGTATATGAGGTACTTGTGATAAAAGATAATTTTTCCTTTATAACTAAAACATACATGATGCATTATTTATAGTGATTTATGATTTTTTTTTATATACAAACTATTAAGAATTAAATTTGTTGGCACCATGTGCAAGTTTAACTATTTATACGAAATCTTACACATTTAATAACTTTTTGTATAGTGTAAATTTTATCAATCTAACAGTTAATTTGTGATATTATACTCAACATTATATATATAAAATTTCACATGATTTGAATTTATTTAGATATGTTATCCAAAAATAAATATTTACACATATTTTAAATATCATATTATTAGTTAAATAAAGTAATGTGTTGAATTACTAAATAATTTAATAATATAATTATGTGAAATTTGATATACATGATATTGAGTATAATATCATACAGTTCAATGTTGGATTGATTAAATTTGCATTATACAAAAAATTATTGAATGTATAAGATTTGATATAAATGTTTTAGACTTATAGTTGGTGCCAACCAATCCGAAACTCTTAATATAACACCTTCCGGGAAGACTTTCCCATATTGCCTTATCACTCATGTTTCCTTCCTCCCCTAACTTCAAAGTCTTACACATTTTGCACATAAAATAACACATGTATAGTTTGTTAAAAATTACAAATAAATAGTTTCAGAAGATGGAACTCCATTGTAACGACTCAACAAGTCACTACACCTAGTACGACATAACTATAATGCAATAAAAAACATAAACATCTACTAGCATAGGATTATCATGGAAGCAATAGCTAGATATTCATGCAACAATCATATGTATAGGGTACAAAAAAGCAAAATATTATTGGCCAATTTTAACTTGAAAACATAGATCTCATATGGTGTTACAACAAACCTTGTACATATATTCTAAAATATAATTTATATATTTAAAAATATTCATTTATACAATTTTTAAATTAATTTATTATAAAATTTAATTATTATTTTTTGTTCGTCCCTAGAGTATCCACCGCTGATAGCAGTGACTAATTTTCTCGCTACGTTGGAGACACTTTAAAGGGTGGGATAGCTGACCCCAAGATTTAACGCGGCTGCATACACAAGGCAGGATCCGAACCTTGACCTTGCTTAAACGTGGATCAACCCTTACCGCTAAATCACACGTTTAAGGTTAAATTTAATTATATATAAGCATATTCATGCATTACACATGCTAAAATATTAATGGTGTATATAATTTTTAAAATAATTATTATAAAAGTTAAATAACTTATAATACATGTTAGGTTGTGATTGGATAATAGTATATGATTTTTTTTCTTGTTAAATAGTCACAAAGATTTATTTTTTAAGAAATAAAATTAAAAAATAAAATGAAGTGAACTCTTATTTACAAAATTACAAAAGATATTATAGAATTTCAAATCAGATAATATAATTTAGGTTTAATTGTGTTTTTATTTTCAAGTATTATAATTGTGCAATGTTAGTCTTTAATGTTCTAATTGATAAATTTTAATCTTTTGAGTATCATAATTATACAATTTTAGTTTTCTAAATTTTAATTAAATAATTCTAGTCTTGTATCAAAATTTTAGCTCTTTAAATATTATAATTATATAACTTTTTGTACTTATTTAAATTATATGTATTATAATTTTCATTCATGTATTAGATGATAGATATTTATTATTACTAAAATTTTGGTATATGTAACTTAAATAGTCAAAAGATTACACAATTACAATATTTAAAACATTAAAACTGTTTAATTAAAATTTAAAGAACTAAAATGGATAAAAGTGTATTTAATCCTTTTAATTTATTTGAAAATTTAGAATAGAAGAAACTTCATAAAACTTTTTTTCTTAAAGTGTTTTAGAATGACATTTGAATTAGAATTTTTATCCAAAGCGTGTCACGTTCCTTGTATTTGTTGTTTATTTATTTTAAAAAAAAAAATTGTTTGATAGTAGTGAATAAGATAAGGTAGGGGTAAGGTTAGGTAACAGTGGTTATTTATGAGGTAAACAAAAGGTGCATGATCTAAAAAAAAAAGAAAGGAAAGAGAAAAAGATATTATTATTATTATTATTATTATTATTAATTTATTATTACTTGAAATCTGAAAGGATACAGTAGCACGTGACTGTGGACACTTGTCATTGTAGCAGCTGCCTCTCTCTTTTGGGAAAGGAAAGACTTACCCGTGAAAGATACAGAAATTCAATTTTCTTTTTATTTTTCTAACAGATAAATAAATCAACAAAAACCTTATCAATCTTACCCATGAAGTCTTTCCATTTCATTTACAAATCTTATTTATTTATTTATTATTAACTAATGAAAGAGAAACACTATGTGTCTCTTGTAAAAAAAATTAAAATAAATGAAATAAAAATAATAAAATTTTAAGAATGTTCAATTAACTTTAAATTAATAAAAAAAATTAAAAGATAAAAATATAATTAAACAACTTATTTAAAAAATAAAATGATAAAATATATGTGAATATCAAAATAAGATATCATTTATTAATGTTATAAATAATTAATTACATTGCATATTTTTATCACACTACATGAACATCTTGAAGATGATTATATATATATATATATTCACTCCTTGTGTTTTATATTATAAGAAAAAAAATATAATTAAATTTAATTACTTTTACATCATTAATGATATTTTTTTTAAATTTTTTTTTATAATATATGACATTTTAGTTGCATTATTTTTTTTACATTTATAACAAGAATAATTTTAAAAAAAAATTATGAAAATAATAAAATTTAATGTAAATAATTATTTTTTTAATAAAATTAATTATTTTTATTTATAATAAAAGACAGAAAAATACAAAACATCTTAAACGATAGTCATGTGATATTACATATCAAGATAAAGTTCAATAAATTTTTTTATTAAATTGTCCTCTTGGTTCTCAACATTTATTTTATCAACAATTTCATTTTTCAATTTTTGAATCTAATATTTTCAAAGCGTGTTTAGCATATTATTTCATGTATTTATAATTTTTTAAACTAATTTATAAGTTAATTCAACTAAATTAAAGCTTTTTATACATAAAATTATACAAGTTTATTTTAAGAGTTTATAACTCATTTTCATAAGCAACTTCAAGTAACTTATGACTTATAAGGTATTTTTTTTATTTTCATTAATTTACTTCAATTTTTTATATACTTTTTTAATTTAGAAATCATTTTGCATATCCTACTGTGAGACTCGTAACTTTCCCTCCCCACTTTCTCATTTTCCTTTTTCTTTCTCATTCCCTCTCTTGGCTAAGTCATGGTGTTGGTGGTAGATCTAAAAGCTTGAGCTGGTGAGAAGCAAGGAAAATAACAAGGTTGTTGGAGTCTTCCTCACGAAGCATCTTCATTTCTTCTTCTTCTTCTTCAATCTCAGAGTAGTTCGGAGTTCATCATTCACTCCGTTTCGAGGTAAGGGAAGCTAGAACTCGAATTTGTTGTACCTTTTGGGTTGCATGTGGTTGAATCATCATCTAGGGTGTGATTTGGGGGCTGAGTAGTTGAGTTGGGTGGGTTGCATGTTGTTGGGTTGTGGTGTTCTTAAATGAGCTGGG